TGCTGAAGTGTAAGCAAAATAAACCCTTTCCTTCCCAACTTATGTATGCACTGAAATGCTTAGTGACTGATTTTTTTTTTTTTTTCTGCAGTGCTGGGGATGGAACCTGCAGTGGTATTTGCTCCCAAGGTCATGGGCGGAGCAAATACCACTACAGGAACCCATGGCCTCGTGCATGATAGGTGAGCTGTCTACCACTGAGCCACACCTTGAGACACTAAAAACACTTGCATACAGAGATGTTCTTGGTGGTGGTGGTGGTGGTGGTGGTGGTGGCATTCCCATTTCCACAGATGCCCTGAGAGGAGCAGCATTAGCTACAGCTCTGTGACTATGGGTGAATCCTGTGATGCTCTGGAGAGCAGGGCAGTTGCTCTGCATGCTCCATGGTAAATGGAGAAAGGTGAAGTCGTGTGGTGGACATCTGATATTTCTGCACTCTCCCTGCCCTAGCCTTCCTCTTCTGCTTTGAGAAAGGACTCCATCCTTGCTAGAGTCAGAGTGTTACACTGAGGACAGACATATTACCCACTCAAGTTCTCTCCCTCCTAGGAACTAGATGCGGTACAGAAATGATACAGTAACAGGACTGAAGAGATACAGCCCAGTGACAGTGCCCAGAGGGGCAGAGCTCTTGCCTTTTGCATCACGGAAGGTGCTTTCCCAGCACATCTCCTCATCATTCCTGGCTCTTTCCCTCAGCTCTGTTACCTATCCCTTACCCTTCCAGGTAATTCTGGGATTGGAAAGATAGCTCAGTGCTTAAGAGAGCTTGCTGCTCTTGCCAAGGACCTGGGTTGGGTTCCCAACACCCACATGGTGGATCACAATTGCCTATAATTCCAGTTCTAGAGGGACCTACCACCCTCTTCTGGCCTCTTTCACATGCAGGCAAAACATCCATACACATAAAATAAAAATAAATTCTTGGCCGGGCGGTGGTGGCGCACGCCTTTAATCCCAGCACTCGGGAGGCAGAGCCAGGCGGATCTCTGTGAGTTCGAGGCCAGCCTGGACTACCAAGTGAGTTCCAGGAAAGGCGCAAAGCTACACAGAGAAACCCTGTCTCGAAAAACCAAAAAAAAAAAAAAATAAATAAAATAAAAAAAAATAAATTCTTGAAAAATGTCATTACCATGCCTAAGCCAGCCAGAGTTTGTGTCTATTGCTTGCAGATAATGCCACAGAGCTAACGTCATACATAAGATAGGGGGAGGTGGGGGTGGGGGAATCTAGAATAATATATACTAAATGAATGGGAGTAGAAACTGGATGATAAGAAATTATGAAGAAAGTCTGATATTGACCAAAAGGCACCAAATTTTCATTATGCAAGATGAATAATTTCTGGATATCTAAAGGACAGCATGATGACAATAGCTTGCCACGTGTATATTTGGAAGGATGGGACAGAAATTTCCTCACTCAAGCAGGAATATACACTTTCACATAATGTATGCATATACACATACATACCTGCACATAATGTATGCATATACACATATATATTTGTACATAATGCATGCATATACACGTGATACATGATGCCTACACACATAATGAATGCACATAATATACAAAGACATATACATACACACATCATGCATGCACACATTGCGTACAATGCACACACATACAAGCAGAAACTGTGGGGCTGATGGATGTGACAATGAATTCAAATACGATAATTTCACAATGAACACTATGTCAAAGCACTGAGTATATATACCTTAAGTGGAGACAACTTCTATCCCATAATTAAAAATAACATTTTATATTACACTTTATGTTTTTCTATTCTTCAGTGTTCCTGCTGCTTTTTTAAGTAGAAAAGCACTGATCATTTTCATGAAAGCAGGTAAGATTAAAAAAGGAAAATCTGAAACCTTAAGAAAAATACTCCCGGGCTGGAGAGATGGCTCAGAGGTTAAGAGCACTGACTGCTCTTCCAGAGGTCCTGAGTTCAATTCCCAGCAACCACATGGTGGCTCACAACCATCTGTAATGAGATCTGGTGCCCTCTTCTGGCCTGCAGACAGACATACATGCAGACAGAACATTGTATACTAAATAAATAAATCTTTAAAAAAAAAAAAAAAGAAAAATACTCCCACAGGGCTATCCTTTGCTTAGCTCTGTGTGTGTGTGTGTGTGTGTGTGTCCACATGTACTACCTGTGTGCAGTACCTGTGGAAGCCAGAAGAGGGCACTGGATTCCATGGAACTGGAGTTACAGGTGGTTGTAAACAGCCATATGAGTGCTGGGAACTGATCCCAGGTCCATTGCAAGAACAATGAATGCTCTTATCCTCTGAGCCATCTCTTCATGAATACAGCTTTTTTTTTTTTTAAATCATGTTGGGGAGTAGTTACTTTCTATAATTTTTATTGGTGATAACTGACCTCTTGACCTCAAAGTTTCCCTAAATATCTGCTATTGGAGTAACAGTAATTATCAGATGAAAAAAACCCAAATATTTTATTTCTAACTAGCTGTAGGGCTTTTTATTTTTATTTTATTTTATTTTAATTTTTTTATTTTTTTTGGAGACAGGGTTTCTCTGTGTAGTTTTGGTGCCTGTCCTGGATCTCACTCTGTAGACCAGGCTGGCCTCGAACTCACAGAGATCCACCTGCCTCTGCCTCCCGAGTGCTGGGATTAAAGGTGGCCACCACCATCGCCCAGTGTTTTGTGCTGGAGGTGGAATTCAGGGTTCTGTCACGCTAAGCAAACACTCTGCCAGCTGAGCATCCCAAGCCCCGTTCACACTGTCTGAAAGCACAACTCAGACCGAGCTGCCTTTTAGAGCCTCCCACCACCGTGGTGTGGCCCCCACCTGAGTTCCCACCCCTGACCCTTTGGTGTCTAGTCTCTCCTCTCTAAAGAGCTTTTCTCAAGTATTTCCTGTTGTTATCGCTTCTGTAACAAATCTGTCTAGTTTTCCTCTCCTTTGTTTATTCAGATCCCTGACACATCAATTCAACAGCTCACTGTGCGCCTCTGTCTACGACTGTGATCCAGCAGAGCGCCCCACGCTACCACAGTGTCTAGACACCTCTTCTCACCCTAGAACCATTTTCATCCCCTTGGGGTAAGTTTGAACTTCACTAGGGCCCGTCATCCTCATCAACCCATGTATCATCCCAAATGATATTCATCTCTCTCTGGTCTATAGTTTATCAAATCACTGCCCTGATTGGAAATGTCCACCAGTTTCTCCTTCCCAGACATCGAAACACAAACACAGTGCCTGGCTGGTCTAGAGTGGTTGGTGGTCAGCAAATTCCAGTTGGCTTTGATCTTTCTTCCGGTTTGAACCCTGCCGAGAGCATGCCTATGATCCCAGCGCTCAGGAGGCTGAGGCAGGAGGATGGACAGTTCAGGTCAGCTGGCCCACAGAAGGAGACCTTGTCTCAGAAAACAAAACTCTGAAACATTTGCCCCAATTGCTCTTCTGTTAATGGTGCCTGAAGCAGTTGCTGCCCTCCTGCATGTGAACACCGGAATTTCACGAACCATCAGTATTTTTACCAATGGCTCATGGCATGTCTTCTCAGATTATTAATGCTTTCCTGACAGACATGCCTTCTAAATCCTCAGTCTCAGTGAGGGCCATCATGCCCCTCTAATCTCCCAAACTGGAAGACTGGCAGTTATTACTATAATAATTATTATTGCTATTATTGTTATTGTTATGATTTTGTGTGTGTGTGTGTGTGTGTGTGTGTGCATTTATATGTGTGTGCATGTGTGGGGAGGCCAGAAGTTGACGTTGCGTGTCTTCCTCAATCCCTATCCACTTTATATTTTTCAGACAGGGTTTCTCATTGAACCTGCAGCTCCCTGATTGGCCTGGACTGGAGGGACAGCAAGCCCCAAGTGTCCTCCTGTCTCTGCCTCCCCAGTGCCAGGATTACAGATGCACACTGTAGCACCTGGAGTTTTGCTTTGGTGCTGAGAACCCAGGTCCTCACGCTTGTGTGGCAAGCTCTTTACAGACTGAGCCACCTCCCTAGCTCCATCATCATTACTTTTGAGATGTGGGCTTCCTTTGTAGCTCAGGCTAGCCTCAAACTTGTCAGCCTGCCTCAGTCTCTAGGCAGAAACCACTCTGGACTCCTCTGTTTGAAATCCCCATGGGAAACTGGTAAGACTCAGCAGCATCTGACTTGAGGCATGCCGCTCTGATATAAACCCCTCCCCCCCCTTTCTGTGCCACCGCTTCCTCTGGGCTGGAACTCATAGAGGAAGAGCACCTGTTTCCTCCCTGCTCTTGGCTTCTCACCAGCCTAGCCTGGGTCTCACACTGATGCTCTGGGTCTTCAAAGCAAAGCTAGTGCTTGCCAGGTCACTCCCCTGCCTAAACACCTCTGATGGCTCACACTGCCTTCAGGGTACAGTCTGCAGGCTCCAGCCAGCTCCCCTTGTCCCCAGGCTACATTCCACATGCCCCGGATCTCTGGCTGCCCTTGATTTCTCCTCCAAACCCCATCTCAGCCCGTCACTGCCACTCAGGCAGGAGATTGACGTTCAGTCAGTTCTGTCTGTTTCCCTCCCCAGACTTCGGCAGCCAGGTGCTGCTTGGTAGCCCTGGTGTCTGTCACAGAGCCTGGCACAAAGGAGGCGCTCTGTGGGCACTGGATGACAGTGAATGTGATGATGTGCAGAGCATCGCCCTGTCATTTAAGTGTTTCTTGTAGAATCACAAAACCCAGGGCTCTGACAAGCAGGCTGGAAGCGGAAGATCCCACCCCCTCCTCATGCCCCGCTTCATGTGATAGGATGCACGTGCACCTTCGTTGTAACACAGCTTTTCACCCATTTCAGGCTGGTCCTTATGCTCAAAATGGCTTTATCTTATCGGAGGTGACATCACCCCCTGACACATTTTGCGTAGGACCCCTGCCTTGTGCGAACGGCTAAAGGCTAAGGACATAGGAACGGAATGGAGGAGACGGACCCCCCACTGCCCCTCAGACGGCTTCAGTGTGACAAATACCTCCCGAATGTTCTGCTGTTCCACCTCATGGCGCTTGATCATTATTTTCCGCTTGAAGAAGCGACAGTTTCTGTCATAGTACAGTCTCTGTTGAGTGAGCAGGTGGGCTTCCTCCTCAGCCTGCGTGTGCTGCAGGTTCTCTTTATGCTTCGATATCCGCTCCTGCTTCTCCTTCTTGGGTGTGCTATGGTCCTCGTTCATTTCCTTAAAACGACAACACAAACGGGCTGGAGAGCTGGCTCAGCGGTGAAGAGCACTGGCTGCTCTCCCAGAGGTCCTGAGTTCAAGTCCCAGCAACCACATGGTGGCTCACAACCATTTATAATGAGATCTGGTGCCCTCTTCTGGCCTGCAAGGATACTTGCAGGCAGAACACTGTATACATAATAAATAAATAAACCTTTTAAAAAAAAAAACCACAAACATATTCAGGCCCATCAAACGGGATGGCACTGAGGACAGGTCAGATCATGGAGATGGTGAGTGTGGATCTCAACACAGGAAGGATCTCCCCCACCACTTGCCTTCTCCCCAATTACTTGAGTGTTAAGTGAGGGGGTACTTGAGTTTGCCTCCACCTGTCTTCTCACGCTCAGAGATCATGTGTTCAGTCATCAGCCAATGACTCTAAGCCCTGACCGCAGCGTTAGTAGGTGTCAGGTGAGCAAGGGGTCCCAGCACCTCGACACTCAAAGGCTGGACAACCCAGAGTCCAAACCGGATTTCAGAGCCGTGGAAAGGAATGAAATGACTGTCCAAAACCTGCCTTCAGGGAAGGGCCGGCGTCCTCCAAGAGGATTTGGTGGAAAGCATTTGACCTCAGTAACAACTATGTGGACATCGGAAGGAATGGATGGGAGGTAAGTAGGGGACAGAGGCTGACAGAGGGAACAGCCTGGGAAAAACTCTTGCATGGGGTGGAACTAATTGGGTCAAGAAGTGACGGGAGGCAATGGCCTGTGGGGTCTCACAGGCCACGAGGCCAGTCGGCCCAGGGACGTGTAGACCAAGTTCAGATTGGTGTTTTACTCAGTTCTAGGGACTGACCCCAGGGACTCAGACATGCTGGGCAAGCACTCTACCCGTGAGCTACATCCCAAGCCCAGCAAGGACCTTGGGGCTGGGAAAAATGGCTATTCTGTAAGCGGGAGTTGCCGTCATGAGGAAGTGGATGCTGGCCGCCGTGTGGAGAGGCAGGACCAGGACCAGGACCAGCTGTGCAGGCAGCTGGGAGTCTCCCGGGAAGGTCAAGTTGGGGGACACAGAGTGGCTTGGAACAGGGAGGAGGTAGAAGGCTTAAAGAGAAGTCAATGGCTTTCAGAGTTAGGAAGGGACTCTGCAGATGTGGCTAATTGAAGTTCCAGGAGAAAAAGAATTGTGCTTCATTTGGGATCAGAGTGAGAAAACCACGCATAGGAAATCTCTACTCTGGCTTCCCAGAATACATGGGCAATGTGAAGAGGGCTGCCTAACGGAAGATCTGGGATGCTAGACTGTGGAGAGGGCAAGAGGACACTTCTGGAGAGCATACAGAGTACTGACCTTCGTTCATACCAACGAGCTTGACCTATGTTCGGTTAACCCTCACACATCTGAAACCACTTGCTTTTCTTAATGATTGTCAAAACCCACCATTATTTAGGTTAGTTTTGCCCTCCACCGATAAGTCCTTGTAAATCAGAGAACCTGCGACAGACAGGCTGAATGATGTCTCTTTATGCCATGATGTCACCATAGGTTCAGCGTGAGCCCCAAGTTGGCATGTCTGAGCTCAAATGTGACCATAAAGAATCACTCTAAAATCAAGACTGGATTATTAATGTCCTTCCCATACCGCTCTGGTTGGTCCACACGTGAAATTCTAGAGGTATCTGAACACACGCCATGAGCATGCTCTACTCCTAAGTGGCCGAGGCCACCTCAAGTTAACTTTGGACCTGCTTCTCTCCAGGAAAAGGCCCAAATCTTTTACATTATCTAAGTCTGGTGACCCAAAGCTAACCTGAGGACTGGGTGGGGAGTGGGACAGGACTCCGGAATAGATGTTTGGTGGGGAATCTCAGCAGACCCCCAATATCCTGGTGTTGCAAATGCCCAAGATGGCAGTCATACTTCTAGAGGATGGCCTCGAGAGCAGGAACAAATACGTAGAGTTTATAAAGGAGAAAGAATTTGGAGTTGAGGGAAATAGCAAAATTTCCTATTGAAAAAAAAAAAATCGAAGCAACCTCCAAGATCCAGCAACATCTTGCCAATCACAAAAGAAAAATACCAACGAAAAGCTGAAGAAAATGCGGACCCTTTTCTTCCCTGGGCTGTTTCTATTGACTCTCTAGTTTCCAGAACTCAGAGAGTCAGAGACCCCCGGCATTCAGACAGTGTGGATCAGCTGCAGCAACGTCTTACCTGGGCAGAGCCTGAGATCCTCTGGATACCCCCCCACCCCCTCCCAGATCCCTCACTAGGCCCTGTGCCCTTTACCCGCCAATCAGATGGTGGGCTCTAGCATAAGACTTCACTAGGGCAGTGCCCCAGGCTGTGCTTTATTCAACCTCGGGGGACGCTCTTAAACCAAACGTTCTGGAATCATCTATTCACGTGGCAAACAGACTCATGTATCATACACAGTCTTGGGCAACACCAGACATGCTCTCTGCTTTATGGTGTTTAGCAGCTAGGTACGGACTTTGAATAATTAGTGAAAAACTCTAGTTTTGTGAAACGGGAGAAGTGTATCTTAGCCGAGGCTAAGGTTAGGAAAGTCCTCTCTGGGGAAATAATATTTGAGTTAAGATTTCAATAATCGATCCTAACTCTTACAAGGAGGAGGAATGAATTGGGCAGAACTGCAGATGGGGTCAAGAAACACCATGTGTAAAGGCCTCGGGAGGGAGAACTTGTTACATCTGAGGAACTGAAGGGTATCCTGGGGATACAGCAGCCTTGAGGAGGCTGGGGTGGGGAAGGGAGGTGAGGGGAGACTGGTGTTTAACCACGTGGGGCCTTCAGAACTTCCACCTTCTCTGAGAACAATGGGAAGATGGTGGATTTTCCAAGGACAAGATGGGTTTCAAATGGCTTAAATCTACTTCTTTGGCTGCTGTGTGGAGAAAGGTTTGGCGCATGGTCACACCTTAGATCCATGATTCCTGAAATGCAGCCCCCTCGCTCAGCGACATTGGTGTCCCATGGGATTTTTCGGAAAGGTGAGTTTTCAAACTCTACCCCAGGCCTAGCGAAGACGGGAGGATGGAGGGGTGTGCTGATCTCGGCTTTACTAAGCCTTCCAAGGACTCTAATGAGAAGTCAGGGCTGCTGAATTCTAATGCCGATCCCAGGGCAAGATGGGCCATTTCAAGCTCTTAGCCAGTTCAAAGTGCAGGTGACCTCGGGTGCAGGCATCCTTACCTCTTTTATTTTTTCCTTACAAATCTTGTACTGCTTCTTCTGACTTTCTAAGAAAGTTGTCAAGTCCTTCTTCTGCTGGGCCAGAATCTGCTGCTGGAACTTCTTCTCATCTGCTGCGGCTACCTTTGCCTGAGAGGACAACAGAGGTGGCCGAGGTCAGCCTGAGCTCCCCAGACTTAGCTGTCCATGAGTGCCAGACAATATCACCCCTGGACGGAGAATGAAAGACTATCTATCTAAAGATATGCCTTCCAAGCCAGGTAGGTTGTGGTGGTGGTGATGGTGCACGCTTTTTTTTTTTTTTTTTTTTTTGGTTTTCCGAGACAGGGTTTCTCTGTAGCTTTGTAGCCTGTCCTGGACTAGCTTTGTAGCCCAGGCTGGCCTCGAACTCACAGAGATCCGCCTGGCTCTGCCTCCCGAGTGCTGGGATTACAGGCGTGTGCCACCACCGCCCGGCTATGGTGCACGCTTTTAATCCCAGGCAGAGGCAGGTGGATCTCTGTGAACTCAAGGCCAGCCTGGTCTACATAGCAAGTTCCAAGACCACCAGGGCTGTTACACAGAGAAACCCTGTCTCCAGAGAAACACAAAAAAGACAATGCCTTTTGTGGCTCTTCTGCATCTTAAAAAAATACATTCCCAATGATAGGGGAGATATGAAGGTGCCTCTGTGTGTGTGTGCACATATGTGTGTGGATGCATGTGGACACCAGAGGCCAATCTCAGGTGTTGTTCTATGAGGGCCACACACATTTATTTTTTTCTTTATTCACCCACTTTATTTATTTATTTATTTATTTATTTATTTATTTATTTATTTATGCGAATGTGGTGTATGAGCATGGGGTGGGGAGGTGCTTGTACACTCCTGGAGGTCAGAGGAGGACACGGATGCCCTGCTCTATCCCTCTCCACCTTACTGGTTTGAGACATGGTCTCTTGCTGAGTCTGAAACTAGACTAGTGCCCAGCGAGCCCCTGTGATCTCCTGGTCTCCATCTCCACCACACTGGAGTTACAGGTGCGCACACAACCATGCCCATGTAGGGCGCTGGGACCCGAACGCAGGTCCTCACGCTTGCATGGTAAGTGATCTTATTTATTGAACCATCCCTCGCCCCCGCCCCACCCCACCCCTCGCCCCCACCCCACCCCTCACCCCCACCCATCACCTTGGTTTCGGAGACAAGGTCTCCCATTGGTCTGAGGTTTACCGCCGATTAGGTTAAGCTGGCTAGCCGTGGGTGCCACGTATCTGCCTGTCCCCACCTTTCCTCCACCTTTTCGGTGGACTATGCCTGGCCCATCATTCCCTCCTAACACTAAATATTTGACAGTAATAAAGACATTATCTTGATTTGTCTTATCATTTTATCTTTTTTTCTTCTTTTTTAATGTGACAAGGTAGCACGATAGAAGCCAGGAAGGCCTTGAATTGGGAATGCTCCTGCCCTGGCACCCAAATCCCTAAGATTACAGGTGCATTCCAACACATCCAGAGAGAATGCTCTCCAAATTAGTTTAGAGGGCCCAAGAGTGACTCTCAGGTGAGCATGCAAGAAAGTCTTGGTTCCATCCCCAGCACTACCAAAAAATTAACTCAAATAATTACACTGGCTAAAGACCTGGATGAGGAAGAGAGATCTTTCCTCAGAAAACCCGAATCACAGCCAGATTAACTTCTTTGTGGCCAGTGGCTGATACAGTAGCAGTCACAAGCAGGGATGGATGTTCCCCACTAAAGGGGCTATTTGAGGAGAACAGGGGTGCGGCCGGCGCAGACAGACCTGAGCTACGCACGGTCCTCAAAGACAGTGGCATTTTGCTTCCCTTGACTGGCTCTCTGGCCACTGTGGAGGGAGCCCTGCTCTCGACACATCAGAGTGAAACCACCTGATAATTTTACCTACCATAGCAATTTCAGGGAGGACCCCCAACCCAGCAACAGTGCCCCCCTGCTACTCCCTCCCTCTCCCTGCTGACTCTGCCATCGGTGGAGACTGGCTAGGGCTGGCAGCACCTAAAGGTCCTCCCAACCCCTGCCTCCTGGCCGCCCCCCCAGCACCTGAGGGCGCCCCGCCCCCCACACCCTGCACACTGACCTCCTTTTCTATGGTAGCCACCTGCTTCTTGGCCAGCTTCTCCAGCTCGATGGACGAGTTGTTGGCATGCGTCTCCACCTCCTTCTGGAGTTTGAGGCGGTGCTCGTCCATCTCAGCCTTCAGCTTGTTCTCCAGGGCGATCAGCTGCTTCTGGTGCTGGCGCCGCATCCGCTTATAACCTGACATCTGTTCCCGCAACTCGTTCTCCTGCTCATGCTCATGGATCTGCCGTGTAACCTGAGGCAGGTGGGGGGACAGAGCTCGGGTCACCGGGTGGACCGGGGGTGGGCTTTCGAGTAGAGAGTGCCCGGTGACCTCGGCATCCTCACCGGCCTGTGGTGGCCTGGAGCGGGGGCTCTGCCGGACACTCTGTCATCCTCAAAACGTCTCATTTGCTTAGCGCTTTTACACACTCACGAGGTCGGTGTTACTGCTCTCTTTTAATAGAGATATTGAGACTTGAGGGAGGTCATTCATGTATTTTTAACAGTCATTCACACATACACACACACACACACACACACACACACACACACACACACACACACACACGATAGTGGGGCTCTCCAGGTGAGAAGCTGTGTTTTTTCAAAGGATCATCCTAATAGGGAGAGAGACAGACAGACAGATACACACACACACACACAAAGTTTTTAAACTCTCTGTCTCCCTTAGCCACATCCCTAAAAGATCTGCCCACAAGTTACAATTTTTTTTTTCCCTACAAAGGAGACAGTGTTCCTATGAGTGTCGCTGGACCACTTTTCCCGATTTCATTTTGAATTCAATGTCCAGCAAGCCCAAGTCTGCCAGGGGAGCCTGCAGCCTGGGTATCTGTCTCCTCCTCTGACCCTTCTGGGAATTTCTAGCCTCCTTCGTTAGTTCCCCGCCCCCCCCATGGAGCTGTCCATCACTTCCTTCTCCTTTTCCCTATTTTAGAAAAGCCCTTGGATTTCAGCATCAGGATGCTAACTTTACTTTTCACGGTATCATCTGGCTACTCCCCTGGAGAAGGAGCCCACTCCCCACTTTCACCCCCAAAACAAGTTTTCCTGGAAAATCCCGCGCTATTAACGCCCTGCACTGTTTGCAGTTTGTGGGTCAAACTGTGTTTCACGGATGGCGCACCCATCAGAAGGGTGTCCCCGCACTCTCCACTGGGCCCTTACTATAGAGCAGAGGTTCTCAACCTGTGGATTGCAACCCCTTAGGGGTTGAATATCACACATCCTGCACATCAGAAATTTATGTTACGATTCTTAACAGTAGCACAATTACAGTTATGAAGTGACAACGAAAGTGATGTCGTGATTGCGGGGGGGGGGGGGGGGGGTCACCACGACATGAGGAACTGTGTTAAAGGGTCACAGCGATAGGAAGGGTGTTCTAGAACCGCACTATCCTGGGAGCAGACTTTAATCCTTCCTGATGAGCGAACATGCGGTTTCCTATGCATGCCTCACTTGGAAGGACATTCCTCTCCAGGACTGAGAGCAGAGGATATTTTAAGACTAGCCGACAAAGAATACCCTGGCATCACCCTAAAGCCCTCTAGTACTCTGAGAGAAGTGAGTGATGTGTTTTGTTGCTACAATACCAAGTGATCTATTTATTTATTTATATTCTGGGTACAGGAAAGGAAACCAAGGTCTCCGGTGCTAGCATGCCCTTTATGCAGGCTGGTCTCAATGCGCTCCATCCTTCTCTTTTAGACAGGTATGTTTACGCCATGTTTGCCCCCCCCCCCCCCATGCTGGGAGTGAGACACTAGCATGTTCTCTACCCCTGAGCTAAATCCCCAGACAACTTTTTTTTTTTTTCCTTCTGGAGACAGGGTGTCCCTGTGTAGCCCAGGGACCTTGACCTTCATGGAGAGCCTTCGGCCTCTGTTTCCCGAGTGCCAGGATTAGCAACTCATCTCACTGCACCTAGTCCCTTTATTATTTTCTTAAATGTATTTATATCTGCGTAGAGGGAAACACAGAAGTATTTTGAGATATGTGTATAAGTTTCAATCCCATATGCTTATATCACACACGAGGATGACTTTAGGGAAAAACAAAACAAAAACAGCCCCTTTGGAAATCAGATTCCGCCCCCCCCCCCCACAAAGTACAGTGGCCATTTCCAGGTAGACAGATATTAACTTTTATCCAGATATTAACTTTTCACTTTAGTATTCCCTCGTGTGTGTGTGTGTGTGTGTGTGTGTGTGTGTGTGCAGGCACAATTACCCACGAATGTGGGCGTGGAGGCCAGGTGGGTGGCTTTCTCTATCATTCTCCACCTTATTTTTTGAGAGAGGGTCTCTCACTCAGCCTGGAGCTCACAATTTTGGCTAGGTTGGCTCGCTGGGAAGGCCTGGGAATCCTCCGGTTTCTACCTCCCCAGTGTGCTGAGATCCCAGGCACATACTACAGTGCCTGGCTTTCACATGGGTGCCAGGATCTGAGCTTCGCAGCAGGCACTCTATCCACTGAGTCATCTCCCCAGCCCTCTGGAATTCCCTCTTTAATGAGATTCCCAGAGGGAGCCAGGGCTTACCCTAACGCCACCACCACCACGATGCATCTAAACCCTGCACATGTCCCGGCCCACAGCTGACACTCTGGGATGACTAACCTTATGCCAGGGGGCCTCACGACGGACCGGGAAGGAGGCGAGGGACGTTTCCTGTCTTACCAGGGCCTGGGTCCCTGCAAACAGGGTGGTCCCACTGCCTGTCTTATCACACCCGGCTCCAATGTGTGACAGAGGCAACTGGCAGAGGCCAGCATGCCCTCCTTGTACCTGGCTGCCTTCCAGGAGGGCAGCTTTGCTTTTGGCGCTCCCCACGGTTAGGAGAATCACCTTCCTCAGACTCCAAACACATCCTTCCATTTGTCACCACCGAACTTCCTGACTTTCAGATTGTCTTCCTGGGCACATACAGAGAAGGGTATAGATATATATATTTTTTAATATTTTTTATTTTCCGGAGCTGAGGACCAAACCCAGGGCCTTGCGCTTGCTAGGCAAGCGCTCTACCACTGAGCTGAATCCCCAACCCTGAGAAGGGTGTTTTGATATGAGGTCTCTCTCTATAGCTCAGGGTGACCTCTAACTCCCAGGTAGGAGGTTAGCAGGTGTGAGCCACCAAGATAGACACACAAGCTTAAGCGTAAGTATGAGCAACGGTCAGTTGTAAAAGGCAATGTGAGATATATTGACCATTTGTTAATTAGGTTATGAATTCTCATTTCACTTTTACACCATGTGTCTGAAGAGCATGCTGTTTGGTCAATAGCATTTTTAAAAAGCTGGTAATTTGGGGCTGGAGAGATGGCCCAGCCTTTAAGGGCCCTGGCTGCCCTTCCAGAGGACCTGAGTTCAGTTCCCAGCACCCAGATGGCAGCTCACACCTGTCTGTAACTCCAGCTCCAGGGCATCTGACACCCTCACACAGACATATACATAGGTGAAACACCCATGAATGTGAAATAAAAAATAAATTATATATTAAAAAGCTGATAATTTCATATGCTTTATATGTACTTTATAATTTATCTTTTAGACTTGTGTCTTTGTGTGGCGGATGTAGTTGTTAGTATGGGTGTGTGCACATGCTTGTGAGTGTGCCTGCCTGCTGGCGTGTGCGGAGGCCTAAGGGGAGGCTGACACTGGCTAGCTCTCCTGAACCTCTCTCTACGTTTATTTTTTGAGACAGGGTCTCTCGGTGAGTCTGAAGCTCATGAACCCTGCTAGACTGGCTGGCCACAGTCTGCCATGGATCTGCCTTTTGTTACCCCTTCTGTGTTGAGGTTTCAGGGACATGCCACTGGGTTCTGGGGATCTGAACTCTGGTCCTCCTGCTTATAAAGCAGACACTTGACTGTGTAGCCTGGTCAGGCCCCAAACTTGTTACTTTCCCTCCTCAGCCTCTCAGGTACTGAGGCTATAGGCTGCCACACTTGTGGCTACAGACTACCACCCTGATTCTCTTTCTCTCTCTCTTTGTAGTGTTCTTTTTTTTTTTTTTTGCAATGGGGTCTCACCGTGCAGCCCTGGCTGGTCTGGAACTCACTATGAAGGCTCTGTCTCCAGCGTGCTGGGATTAAAGGCTTGCATCAACACACCCAGCTACTTCTTTAATTTTTATACACCATGGGTATCAGAACCAAGGGCCCACGGTTCTTGAACTTCCTGAGGGACCCCATCATCAAGGAAGATAGATAGTGATCATTTTCTGTTATAAAGACACCAAAGGAATCCACCCCCCCCAAAAAAAAGTCAAAGCTGGGGAGAATGGTAAGTCTGAATCACACATTGAGTGTGAAACTGTGAAGAAGCTGTGGGGATGTGGTGACTACAGTTTTACAAGGGCATCTCAATGGGACCAAATGTAAGTGGGAAGTGCCACGGTGCCATGCCAAGCCGTAGGCTGCTTGGAGAAAACACCCATTCTGTCCTAATTATGACCTTGGGCAAACACTTGACCTCTTCAAGTCTTTTGATGCTTCCTTAGGGAAAGAGGGGTGAGCCCAGGTCTCCTCAGTGTGGTGGACTGGGTGGGGTGGCCCGTGTCAACGTGCCGAGGAGCCTCTGACTCAAGGGAACACAAATGACCTGTTGCTCCCCTGCTCTCTCCCGCCAGCCCCAGAGAAATGTCTCCCCCGTGCCTCTGCTTCTGGTGGGGCAGGTCTAGCTTTCAACAAGTGGACACGAGAGAAAGGGCTTCGTTTCATTTCCATTCTTAGACAGGATCTCACTCTGGAGCCCAGGCTGGCCTGGAACTCACAGAGATCCACCTGCCTCTGCCTGCCAAGTGCTGGGGTTAAAGGCGTGCGCCACCAATCCTGATGAGCGAGCACATTAAATCATGCAATCACCTATGGCCAGTGTGTGGGCTTTAAGGGGGAAACACGATAGAACACGTGCTTAGCATGCATGAGGCCCTGGCTTCTGTACTCAATACCTGCTCCCCGCCCCCAACTAAAAAGGGATCAAGTATGTATATTTCCCACTGTGTCCTGCATGTGCTCTACCACTGAGCTATACTCCCAGGCCACATACAATTTCTGAGTCAGAATTATTGCTCACCTCGCATACCTGGAATAGATACACTATAATAAATAAGCGACAGCTAAGGAGTCATAGCCAGGAGGCCTGCAACACCTTTCAAAGGAAGATCGCAGTTGCTCAACACTACCCTGTTTAATACTAGAAGACCTGGCTCTGAAGCAAACCTTTTCACCCAC